ACTGGCGGCTTGTCTCATCCGCCATCTTGGCTCCTCCCCAGCTTGTGTCATCTTTGTCATTCAATTTAAAAAAATTTTTTATTTTAACCACTCAAATAATCATAGCATGGTATTTCATTGTGGTTTTAATTTGCCCTTCTCTAGTGACTAATGATATTGAACATCTTTCCCTAAGCTCATTTGCTATCTGTGTATCTTTTATGAAGTGTCTGCTCCATCTTTTGCCCATTTTTTTATTGTTATATTGTTTTCTGTTAGTCTTGAGAATTCTTTTATGTATTCTAAATACAAATTCTTTATCAGGTATGTGTTTTTCATGTTTTCTTTCAGTCTGTGGCTTGTTTCTTCATTCTCTTAACATAGTGTCTTTTGAAGAGGAGTTCTTAATTTTGATGAAGTCGAGTTTATCTGTTTTTTTTTTTAATGGGTCATGCTTTTGGTATCATATCTAAGGAATCTTTTTTGCCTAACCCAAGGTCACAAAGATTTTCTTCTATATTTTCTTTTGGAATTGAACTGAACTGAAAGAGATCTTTACCCAGTTGAGTTCTGGGATGCTCTACTATGTAGGACATTTCTCTTTGCCTCACTAAGCAGGCCACTGCTCTCTTGCTACTAAGTAGTAACTGCCAGAAAAAAAACTGCACAAAAAGTACGTTGGGAATTGGGCCTCAAGTGAGCAGCGGTGTTGGTGGCCATACGTAGAGCCGTCTAGAGAGTGGGGGTCAATGAAATTGCTGTAGATAGCTGTCCCCAGATTCCACTTCCCCTGATTTGCATGTACTGCAGGGAACTCGAGTGACTTCCACTTTGTAGATTTTTACCACTTCTACTTCCAGCTAGATTATTTTGGCTACCCTGGGGTCAGGGACTGCTACCCTATCTTCTCATCCATACCAGCAATTTGGGAAAAGCAGTTTAGTGTAGTTGTTAAGAGCATAGGCTCTAGCGCTTGACTTCTAGATTCAAATCTTGGTTCTGCCACAAAATAGCTGTGTAATTTTGCCTGAGTGATGTAATCTCTCTATGCTTTAATTTTGTCAGCTGTAAAACGTGGTTATAATAGTGCTTGCTTCACTGTGAGAATTAAATGAGTTGATAAATGTAAAATGCTTAGAATAGCACCTGACACATGGTAAACACTCAATGAACATTGACTATTAACATTACCATTTCTTGAACACCTTCTGTGCACTGGGTATTTTATCCACATTATCCGAATTGTCGCAATAACCTTTGAAGTAGATGAATCCTCGTTTTTCTGCAGAATAATTTGAGGCTCAGCAATGCTGGGTAATTTGCCCACTGATGGCCATGATGAGATTTGAATCTAGACGTGTCAAAGCCTCTCTAGCACAGCATGTTTTATTATTTTCTCAGTAGTGAAGTACATTTAAAAAATAAAGCACAAGTGATTACTGTTCAGTTTCTGCTTTATATTGCTGAAATTTAAATTAGATGAGCTGAACACAGAGCCTATCTACACATGAAAAACACTGAATATAAATTGTCATGATTTAGGCTAAAGAATTATTTTCCAGTGACATATCTAAATCTCATCTTTTATATTTTCTTTCTCTGCAGGCTGTTATGACGGATTAGTATATGTTCTGAAAAGTAATACTGGAGAAAAATACTGGATATTTACTACTGAGGATGCTGTCAAAAGCTCAGCGACCATGGATCCAACCACAGGGCTCTTGTACATTGGATCTCATGACCAGCATGCGTATGCTTTAGATATTTATGTAAGAATTCACCTCATCAGTCTAACACCATAAGCATAGAAGAGCAAGAAACTGTCGAGTGCTGTTGAGTCTGGGAGCAGGTGTTAACTATTTCCCAAGCTTAGCATTGTGATCTGGGAAAAATAAAGCATTAATTACGTCTTAATATCTCAAGACATTTTGAACTTCTTTACCAAATTTACCACAAATAAGTTTGCTGCTTAGAGTTTTGAAATGTAAAGAACTTAGAATTATCATCTTGACAATTGAAAAAAATCACAAAGGAAGACATGAGTAAGATATTTTGAGACCCGATTGCCTAAAAATAAA